ATTTTGCACGTTTGATCATTATTTCAGCAACCGTACTTCCTTCTATTGATAGGCCAGCTAGGCACAGTAGCCCAAAATTAATAATATTCATCTGTTCTACGTGATATTGCTTCGTTTGCTCTAACTAGTGAAATCTGACCTGTTCTCCACCATCGGGGTGCAGCCCAGGTTTCCTTGTGCAATCGTTACTACCATGGCAAATGCCTCTGCAAACTCTTCCGCCCCACTTCGAAAATCATTCAGGTAACTGCTCCTTTCACCTCCAGGCCCTTACATCAGGCAAACTCTTCATTGGTTCGGCTATAGTACGATACATAGCTACCGGCCCATCCGAAGGAAGCACAACGGTTAAGATACTGACATGTCACTCAAGCCTAGACTAGAGCAGTTGAAATTCCGGGGTTGGTTCCGGACCACATACCGTCCGGTCAGTGAGTTCGCGCCTTGACCACTGAGCTGTCTGGAGCTTTTTAGTGACGCACAGATCTGTATAACTCAGAAGCACTGTTTTTCTTTTTCTTTTCCAATCTATTCAGTTACTTCAGGTCCGAGCTGACACTTACTTATGTTAAACGTGAGATTGTGCGTTGTTCTATTTTTCCTTGATGTGTTTATATGTAGTCCCCTTCATTTTACTGTCATTTAGACTGGGTTTCCATTCTGTTTTGAACCCTACGTGAGTAATAAAAAACAGGGATATGTAAACAACCATGCCTCCGTCCTTGCTCGGTTTATTCCATTATTTTAGTGCGCAATTCGTGGTTCAGGTTGAAGAGTTACCCTGGCCCACCGAATAAGAATAATGAATAATGCGCCGGCGGTAAGGTGAACCGTTGGGTGATCGGAATGTACGGTTTTTAGGGCTGAACTTCTCCAACTCGTTCTTCCTTGAGGGAAACCCCATACCACCATCATACTACTATCACAGAAGACAGTACGACTTTACCTTCAGGCTGCATCATAATACGAATATTCCCAGCAAGGGGCCTCTCACTTCTTCTTCCAACTCGTTTTCCTTGAGGGAAACCCCATACCACCATCATACTACTATCACAGAAGACAGTACGACTTTACCTTCAGGCTGCATCATAAAAAGGATATTCCCAGCAAGGGGCCTCTCACTTCTTCTTCTGGCCATGTCTTTCTGGCTTGGTTGAACCTTTAGGAAATGAGTTCCAGCCAATATGTCCCGCAGGGTCATTGCAACACAGAAGCCCGACCACCACAAGATAGCTTTAGATCGGGTCCGTTCATCGTGCCCCCCTCTCGATTCTCTCTGTTGAACGTCCGGCAGCATAGCGGAACTCGGGCGAGATGGCCGAGGTGGTTAGAGCGCTAATTTACTGACCTTAAGGTCCGTGGTTCGAACCCAACCTCTGTCTCTCGACTTCCCCTGTCTAGGCTTGGGCAACACGGCAGTATCCCAGCCCTCGCGTAGCCTTCGGGTGGCATGGCAGTTAGGCACCGAAAGGGTGCTACAGCTGAACGATTTATTTTACTACTATAGCAGAACTCCGTGTGTTCGGTGGTTTGCCATCCATAGTCCGGATAGGCTACCTTATTTCTCACATCCAAACCCTACAAGCCTTAAGGCCAACACCTTTTCTACTGCCAGTTCCCTCATACAAACTGCATGCTTTCTATTACAATTCCATCATCGAGACAAAGGCATCTTAATTCTATTATAGTGGCACATGTTTTTTTCTTGCTGTCGCTCGTTTGCTGTCCTGATTCCGTCCGGAAAATGTGCTTTGCTTGAGCTCAATCCCTATGAAAGTTAAGCATCAGTATGTATTACTGATGAATTGGCGTCAACGGTGAATGTGAATTCATCCGCTTTCAATCGTAAAACCCGTACCCGATGGCATCATATCTTCGGTCAGCACTCTTCTGCTTACTAGGGGGGCATTGTGGCAATTATGCAACCCTTATTCTCACTGATATCGTTCTTGGCGTGGTCTCCATTTTGTATATATTAAGCACATTCTTTGCGACCTGGGTCTTTCTTGTCCCTTTTGAGCCAGGCAAACATCTCTAGAACGGTTTAACTCCAGTTGTCTGTGCGTTGACAAAAGGATGGACACAATGTACAGATGATGACGGACGGTAATCGCAACCCAATGAGTATACGAGTTATCCGCTGGTCCGCTATGATAAAGACAGCAAGAAGCATCTGATCAGAGAGCTGTTATTTTTTTGTAATCCGGTCCCCGAAAGACAGTTGCTATCTGACCGCTGGTCGTAAAAACTATGCGTGCAGGTGCTTTGACTAGAAGCGTCAGCAAATGTTGACGGAAGGAGGCGCGAAGGCTGGGATACTGACATGTTGCTCAAACCTAGGTAGGTGAAGTAGAGATGCAGAGGTTGGTTTCGAACCACGAACCTTCCGGTCAGTAAATTCGCGCTTTAAGCACTGGGCGATTCCGGTGGTTTGAAATGGCTACCGACGAGTGGCGTCACATAACCTGTTACTGTTATATTCATTTTCTCCGAATCATCATTTCGATGTTTTCCTTTCGTCTTGCTGCTTTTGAGTTTCCCTTCGCACTCTTTGATCGTCATCTGGCTGCAAGCATCCCAAAGTACCATTGTTATAGAAGGGCGAAGCTTTCATTGCACTCTCGAAGACCTGGGGCACCGTTTGAGCAAGTTCAACTGTGTTTCTATCGGCTTAATGAAATCTAAGGAAGCAGTTGCTTTCGGATTTGGTCCCCAGACGACCTACCCGCCACCCTGTAGCAGGTAATTCAGCATTCAGTCCTCGTCTGAAAGATTTTGGACAGGAACATGATGCACTCAGTTTGCTTACTTTCGGTGTTGATTTGACAAAGCCTCGCCCTTTTTGTTTCTAACTACGGAACAACAGTTGGTTTGTGTTTACCGCAGGTAGTTACCGGGCGCATTCCCACGCAATGATAAAATCTGCCAGCGAGAAAGAACTCTACCCGATAGTCACATACTGATTATTTAGGTGTCACACTTAATGGAGCAATCCATTGAGTTTTTTGCAGTGAAAGCGTAAAATGAAGCAGACAACTACTGACCTCGCCCTCGGACGTATTTTGAGTCCTATGTTATGGAATTATGGCCCGCAGGGTCATTGCAACACAGAAGCCCGACCACCACAAGATGACAGCTTTAGATCGGGTCCGTTCATCGTGCCCCCTCTCGATTCTCTCTGTTGAACGTCCGGCAGCATAGCAGAACTCGGGCGAGATGGCCGAAGTGGTTAGAGCGCTAATTTACTGACCTTAAGGTCCGTGGTTCGAACCCAACCTCTGTCTCTCGACTTCCCCTGTCTAGGCTTGGGCAACACGGCAGTATCCCAGCCCTCGCGTAGCCTTCGGGTGGCATGGCAGTTAGGCACCGAAAGGGTGCTACAGCTGAACGATTTATTTTACTACTATAGCAGAACTCCGTGTGTTCGGTGGTTTGCCATCTATAGTCCGGATAGGCTACCTTATTTCTCACATCCAAACCCTACAAGCCTTAAGGCCAACACCTTTTCTACTGCCAGTTCCCTCATACAAACTGCATGCGTTCTGTTACAAGTCCATCATCGAGACAAAGGCATCTTAATTCTATTATAGTGGCACATGTTTTTTTCTTGCTGTCGCTCGTTTGCTGTCCTGATTCCGTCCGGAAAATGTGCTTTGCTTGAGCTCAATCCCTATGAAAGTTAAGCATCAGTATGTATTACTGATGAATTGGCGTCAACGGTGAATGTGAATTCATCCGCTTTCAATCGTAAAACCCGTACCCGATGGCATCATATCTTCGGTCAGCACTCTTCTGCTTACTAGGGGGGCATTGTGGCAATTATGCAACCCTTATTCTCACTGATATCGTTCTTGGCGTGGTCTCCATTTTGTATATATTAAGCACATTCTTTGCGACCTGGGTCTTTCTTGTCCCTTTTGAGCCAGGCAAACATCTCTAGAACGGTTTAACTCCAGTTGTCTGTGCGTTGACAAAAGGATGGACACAATGTACAGATGATGACGGACGGTAATCGCAACCCAATGAGTATACGAGTTATCCGCTGGTCCGCTATGATAAAGACAGCAAGAAGCATCTGATCAGAGAGCTGTTATTTTTTTGTAATCCGGTCCCCGAAAGACAGTTGCTATCTGACCGGTGGTCGTAAAAACTATGCGTGCAGGTGCTTTGACTAGAAGCGTCAGCAAATGTTGACGGAAGGAGGCGCGGAGGCTGGGATACTGACATGTTGCTCAAACCTAGGTAGGTGAAGTAGAGATGCAGAGGTTGGTTTCGAACCACGAACCTTCCGGTCAGTAAACTCGCGCTTTAAGCACTGGGCGATCCCGGTGGTTTGAAATGGCTACCGACGAGTGGCGTCACATAACCTGTTACTGTTATATTCATTTTCTCCGAATCATCATTTCGATGTTTTCCTTTCGTCTTGCTGCTTTTGAGTTTCCCTTCGCACTCTTTGATCGTCATCTGGCTGCAAGCATCCCAAAGTACCATTGTTATAGAAGGGCGAAGCTTTCATTGCACTCTCGAAGACCTGGGGCACCGTTTGAGCAAGTTCAACTGTGTTTCTATCGGCTTAATGAAATCTAAGGAAGCAGTTGCTTTCGGATTTGGTCCCCAGACGACCTACCCGCCACCCTGTAGCAGGTAATTCAGCATTCAGTCCTCGTCTGAAAGATTTTGGACAGGAACATGATGCACTCAGTTTGCTTACTTTCGGTGTTGATTTGACAAAGCCTCGCCCTTTTTGTTTCTAACTACGGAACAACAGTTGGTTTGTGTTTACCGCAGGTAGTTACCGGGCGCATTCCCACGCAATGATAAAATCTGCCAGCGAGAAAGAACTCTACCCGATAGTCACATACTGATTATTTAGGTGTCACACTTAATGGAGCAATCCATTGAGTTTTTTGCAGTGAAAGCGTAAAATGAAGCAGACAACTACTGACCTCGCCCTCGGACGTATTTTGAGTCCTATGTTATGGAATACGCAGGTCGCGAGTCAGAAAGGCATATCCATCTTATAGTTCATAGTGTCTCTTTTTCCATGTTTCCTTTATATTACTGAATGTTTACTCCAGCTCGTTGGCTTGTGACACTTCTGTTGCATAACTACAATGCGATAAGAAAGAAGCATACGGGCTGAAGTACTGCTGGCTTGCCCGCTCGTAGGTAAGAGCAGTCAAAAAGCGACGGATGGCTTCGAACCACAGATCATTCAGACAGCTGCTCACGTTTTGGTTTCCGACTATTTCAAGTCATCAAAGCCTCCCCGTTGATTGATTTTGTCAATATAGTTTACTTATACGCATAATTTTCTAAAGACACTTTTACCTTTTTGTACAGCCGATGTGTGAAGACTTCTCGTGTACCACTGTAGTTGCCTTATAGTGCATCCAGGCGCATGCTTCGCAATGGGGAATTGCTTTGGCATTTTCGGAGACACTGGTCCTCTGCTGGATAATGTTGAAACAGATGACACTTTGGACACCGAGACGGAGGAAGGGTTTGCAACACAAGTACGTACTGTTATCTACTCATCCATAAGACATTTTGAAGCTGCTTGTTTATTCATTTTTGGCCTATTTTCATATCGTAAGCTTGGATTACAGAAGTGATACATTATTGGTGACCCTCTCAATTGCTCATAAAAGGCATGAACTGTCAGCAATTATATTAAAAAGGAATGTAGATATTGATATTTTGTTTTCATGGTCTAGCGCTGTAGGCTGCGCGAACCACTGTACTGGTCCCACTCGCTGTGATTTTGGATGCACCCATGACAGGAGGATGACGCGGGTAGAAAAGCGTTGAGGATAGTGCTTC